GAGTACTGTGAACAAATACTATTGAGGGACAGGTGGGGAGGAGGGAGGGAGGAAGGGGAGGGAGGAGGGAGGGGGAGGGAGGGGAGAGGGGGAAGAAGGGAGAGAGGAGGGAGGGAGGGGAGGGAGGGGGAGGGGGGAAGGGGAGGGAGGGAGGGAGGAGTAGGGAGGGAGGGAGGGAGATTCACTATTCACTTATCTGGCTATTACTCGCCATAGTTTTAAAAGTGTTGGCCTGAATTAAAGACCAAGCACAAAATGAAAAGTATGCTAGCTATATGCACTTTCTTGTAAAGAATAAGCAAATTAACTTATTCCAAATGGCATGTTTCAAATTTTTGGGGGCTCTTCTATCTAAGGTATGTTATAATTTTCCATAGAAATAATGTTAATGGGCTGGAAATATTGCTTGTTTACCCACCGTGCTCAATTCCCTGAGTTATATGCACAGCATCATACACACAGACTTGGGTAGTGGTGGTGAGAAATAGACTCCATATTGGCTTTCTACTATTACAGCCCAAAATTCTGCATTAGTGTGCTTTAAATATTACTTTGTTTCTTACTCTTGTTTCTGAGGGTAACATAATCTAAACTTCCCCAAATCCATCCTGAGTGAGGTAATTCAGTCACAGAAAGATGAATATAGTATGTACTCACTCATAAGTGGGTACCAGACAATAAGCAAAAGATACCTAGCCTACAATCCACAAACCCAGACAAGCTAGAACCCTCTTCCAGATACAGATGGAAGCAGATGCAGAAATCCACAACTAATCATGGGGCCAAGCTCCTGGAGTACAATTGAAGTGAGGGAGGAACAATAATATGAACAAAGGAGTCGAGACCATAATGGAGAAACCCACAGAATTAGCTGGCCTGAGCTAGCAAGAGATCACTGACTTGGGTCTCACAAATGTGGACTCTGCATAACACTGAACTAGAATCCCTTAATACAGGGGACCATGGCGTGGCTGGGACAATACATGAGGCCACTGGCAGTGGGTCCAAAATCTAACACTAACGCACAAACTGACTTAGTGGAGCCCATTCTATATAGAGAGATACCTTGCTCAGCCGAGACACAGAGGTGCGGGGGGTGGAGAGGTGCCTTGGTCTTGATTCAATGAGATGGGACTTAGTAGACTTCCTAGGGGAGGCCTTACCCTCTCCAAGGAGTAGATGGGAAGTGGGGAGGGAAGTGGGGAAGGCAGGAGGAGAGGAGGGGGGAGAAATGGTATTGGAATGAAAAAATAGATTAATAAATAAAATAAAAATGATTTTAATATTATGTGTATGAATGTTTTCTCACACATGTATGTATACATGCCATATGTGTGCCTGGTACCTAAGAAGGCCAGAAGAGGTCTCTGGATCTCGTGGAACTGGAATTACAAGCAGTTGTGAGCGCTCATGTGGGTGCTGGGTACCGAAGCAAGTCCTCTGCAAGAACAGCAAGTGCTCTTAACCCTGAGCAATATCTGTGGCCCCTGTAACAATGGCTTAGAAACTATGGCATAATAAATAAATTCAAAACGGTTTTTAAATGCGTAGAAATTGATTATAGTCAGTCAGCTCATAAAAGAGTTGCTGAATGAAGGAGCGACAAAAAAAATGATTTAGAGGTTACAATTACACAAATTCAAGGGACTAACAAATGGGGTTCAAAGAGCTTTAGAGGGGTAAGAGTGATAAATTAAGTCAATTACAGCACTTGAGCTGTAAGATATGAGGAAGCTCATATCTTAATCATGTACTTTTTCACTACAGTATTTAAATACACCCTTGACTAAAATGAACTTGTATCTGCCACAGAAACTGACAAGCATTTCTCGGGAAGGAAGGACAGGTAACAGGGTGGATGGTATCAATACATTTGCTGTTTAAAATGTTTCAGTTTAGACAGTGTTAGGTGTGGAAATCAATGGCTCACAACAGGCAAATCCTCAATTGCTTTCAGTTTTATATAATTGCAATTACAATAAAAATGATTTAAAGGAAAAATACAATAAATTTTCTAGGAAGACAAATCAACGAATGTCAATAACCTGTTTACTCTGAGTCAGTACAAAAAACAGAATTCCTCTGTGTTGTTACTTTGAACATGATGTACTCAAGTGTGCATGGAAATAACTCTTAAATTACCATTTAGGAATTACTGTTAATTTGGTAGTTAGAACTGAAACCCATACAAATGACTCTGTAGCCCATTTTCTATATTTATTCCTACAAATAGTGTCCCTGGAGAAGAAAGAAAGTCTGATTAAAGCTTATCATATTTCATATCTGCCATTTAATGAAAGGGACATAGCTGTTATCCTCAGGCTGAAGCTGGAGGACCACAGCACATTTGAGGCCAGCCTGAGCTACATAGTGAGTTCAAAGTCAACCTGAGCCAAACAAAACAAACAAATAACAAAAACAACAACAAAAAACTGTTTCAAAAACCAAAACCATGTTTGCCTAAATTAGCCTTCAATCCTTATTCAACAGTCCAAGAGCCTTGGTTGCTTCTTTCAATAGCACGTTGGGGTGAGGCTCGCCTGGTATTTTGGGAGACCCAAAATGAACTCCCAGAAGAGCTTCCTGCAGTGCTTTCTACCAACGGCTCCCGCTTGGCCAGGCGAGATGGCTCAAAGTGGGAAGGTATTTATTTGTCCCTGAACCTGGTGACCTGAGTCCAGTCTCAAGACCCACACAATGGAAGGAAAGAACTAACTCCTGAAAGCTGTTCTCTGACTTCGGCACTTAATCATTTCCATCCACACCCCCAAAGAAATACGTTTTTTGAAAAAGCTCTTTGTTAGCACAATCACAAATGAATAAAACACATTTCCATCACACAAAATAAATAAATGCAGAGTACAGAAATGGCAGGGTTGTAGTTTCTATTTTCTGCATATTTTCATCTACACTGACAGACAAGAGTGCATGCTGACTGTGTCTCTCCTTACATATAAACTCACGGTGCCTACTAGAACATTTTGGGGATATGAAAAGGAGAAGAGGGTGGAGGAACATGTACTGAACTTCAGTTGCTCATTAACCATTTCTTACCCAAGCTCATTATTCTCAGAGCTACAACATTTGGTCATGATTGTATTTTTATGCCATGATCTTATTGCCTTATTTTTTTTTCATTTTAATAGAGGATAAAGCCCAGCATTTTTTAGCCTATTTTTCTAAAAGAAATTATATGTCTATCACAATACTGTACACTACCACTGAATTTAAAAATGTTACAGAAAGTGTACAGGTCTTACACACTTACAGCCCTTTCAGTCAAGTTCAAACATAACTTTCAATGATTAAATTCCATTCACTCCAAAAGCAGAAAACCAATTCTGTCTTTTTTTCCTTGTTTGAAATAAAAAATACCTCTAAAGAACACAAAATATCTACAAACTAGTTTATAAGGTTGGAATTCAGAGCAGGCAGCAGAACCATGAAGATTTTATCACAAAGCAGGTGTAACCTTGCGCTGCTATTCCAGTTCTCAACAGTTCATGAACTTAGACACACAGAAGACACGTCACCTCTTAACTTCCTGTGTAGTGAAGAATGAAGGTGCGGGCCTATAATCATAACACTCAGGAAGCTGAGGCAGGAGACCTTGTGTGAAACACACCCATACACCCCACACCCACAGAGAGACAGACACACACACACCCAGACACACAGAGACAGAAAGACAGACAGATACAAGCCCAGACACATACAGACAGACAGACACAGACACAGACACACACACACACACACACACACACTGAGACACACACACACACCCAGACACACAGAGACAGAAAGACAGACAGATACAAACCCAGACACATACAGACAGACACAGACACACACACACACACACACACACACACACACACACACACACACACACACACACTGAGACACACACACACACCCAGACACACAGAGACAGAAAGACAGACATACACACCCAGACACAGAGACAGACAGACATACACACACATACACTGAGAGAATATGTTGAATTACACTGAAGATGGTTTTGTACAAAAACACACTCTTTTTCCTTTTCTTCCTAGAGTAGCTTCAAGGAGTTAAAAACAAAATCAAGTCTGGTATAGTAAAACACACCCTAAGCTTCTGTAGAGCCATCCACATGTACACTTATTTTTGAAATGAGTTTTCTTCCTTAACTGCTTTGGAATCCATGGATACAAAGGGGCAAGTTCTACTTCTATCTGATGACAGCAGAAAATGGTTATGGACTCCTTGGGAGGGGTCCTAGCTGAAGTAGGGAATGGAGTTACCAGTGCTGTTCATATGTGAAACTCAGCCTGTAAACTTCATGCCATCGACGCTACTAAGTCATTTCGGCAAAGCAGTAGTATGTCTGAACATTTTAACAGACCCCAAAGAAACGTACTACAATGCACAAGTAGTTTAACCTACAGTCATATTTATGCAGGATATGAATGCAAATAAGAAAGGTTTGATGTCTATTATGTAACAAATGCAAACTTTTACATAGATTAATAATCTGCTTTTATTTTAAAGACTTTTCTGTAACAACTGAAATAACTTTCACATATGTATTAAACAGGTGACAAACCCAATAAAATGTTAACTGTAAACATAAACACATGTTTCTTGTCACATTCAAACTATAAAATTAGTTACAGATAAAAGAAATTTAAAAATGATCAGATCACTGTTTACATTTATATTTTTTTTTACCTTAGAAGAAAAAGTAAAAAATACAGTGATATATATTAGAAATTATATAAATATATCACTGACAATTTTGTCACTGATGTTTGACTGAGGTAGTCATGTAAATTTTTTTTAATGAACTACATACACATGATTCAGTTCAACTTTATGAAATTTCTCACCATCTTGAAAAATGTCCTTCTGCAAGTCATAAAACAGTTGACAAAACTGGGTTCTTTGTGTTTGCTCCTGAAACTCAAGTGCTACCAATTACAATGTATCTGTTAAAACAAACAAACAAAACTTACTTGATCTGTCCCATGAGGCAGTGTGCTCAGAGACCCGAAGGCTGTCATTTTCCAGAGCTGCCCTCTGGTCATGTGCGGTGCCTTTGGAGTGCCTGTGAAACAGCCGGCTGGCGAAACCTTCCAGCTTCTGGAGGGCCGTGGACGTGCCCGTGTGCTGGCCACAGGACAGGTCTTTGTAAGCTGCCATTCACGTGCAGTTACACTTTAAATAACTGCAAATGTTTCCAGAAGGAGCTCAACTTCCTATCAAGAAGCTAAGAGCTATGCATGTGTTAAAACTTCCTGTCTGCAGGGTTTGCAAACCACTACTGCTGCTGTTTCCTGTTAATATAAAACAGCACGTTACGAGCCTTCCTTTGTGAAACTCATCTCAGCTGGAGATGTACACGTTAAAACTTGCAATATCTGCTAAAAGGTTCCAAGTTTTTACTATTATGACAGTAACATGCATGGGGATGAACACAGTAAATATAAAGTTTCACATATAGAGCAAAGGTAAATGGTCTCATTCAAACTATGGGAAACTAGTTAAACATGTATTTCAACCCCATGTAACAAGAGGCCAAATATTAACATGCTAGAATTAGCTTACAGGAAGTCAGCTGACATACAGATTCTATGAATCTTTATAAGCAGCAAACTTTCCATGAAAATTGGTGTGAATAGATGTGACAAGACTCTTTCAAAAAATAGCTAATACATATGTCATAACTAAGAAAAAAAAACCTGAACTAATTTCAAAGAGTTCAAAGTTGCTAACTCACTCACTCAAGTTTAATACAGAAATTTAGCATACCCATTTTGCTTATCAAATTTATTTATAAATAGTACATTTCAAAACACGCTAACATTTGGAAAAAAATAAAACAGGAAAAATCCAATTTAAATTATGGAAGACAACCATAAGTTGTAATTTTATAGGCTGTTAGCCATACCATGCAATTTTCATTCAGGGAAAAAGTATTCCTTCCAAGTGGTTGAACTCGGAATAGAAAAGACTGCTGCTTCCCCGATCTTCTGTTTAATGACATCTTAGAAACATTACCTACAACAAATAAAATTTACCACCTATAGTCTGCAGGGTAAAAGGTAATTGATGGCACTTAGTAAGTTTTGAATTTTTGCCTTTTGATATTATATGTGTCAGGAATGACCCTCCCACCCCCACCCCGTAAGTTCAAATACAGGAAAAGGAAAACGAAGGGAAGACTTTAAAAAAATCTTTCTGGAAAATAACTAAGACCATATGTCCCATTAGCTGCTTTAATACACTAAGTAGGAACCAAAATGGTAAATAAAATGTGCATGGACAATAATGTAAGCACACCAGGCTCACACCTGCAGAATCACAAGCAGTTCTGCCAGGGAGACACCGAGCTGTGAACCCTGCCATGTAAAGCGTGGGCTACAAAGGGGATAGCCGGGTAAGCAACAGGACCTACACGACTAACCGTAAAAACGTGCAGCTGCCTCTAAAATCAACTGTGGCTGGTCAGTGATGTATTAACACCTGCAGGCAATGTATCACACAAAACAGAGAGACTGGGAGCCTGCAGGGTTTGTGTCCAGAGCAGAGTGACCAGCAGGCAAGGAAAAAACAGACTTCCAGTCAGTACCAGGCTCGGCACCAATGTCACCTTGTCGGCACAGCATTCCCACACAAGTCTTAGGAAGCAAACTGTTCTCCTGCGTCCACTGCCCTTATCACGGCATGCTAATATTGGCTATTTATGGAGCTGAGTCCCTGTGTCTTACCTGAATAAGTGAAGTATTCATTGTTAGCACTCTAAAGTTCGAAGAAAAATCCCCAGATACTAGAAAACATTGCGTTTATAACAGGACTATATTTGTAAATGAACTAGCAAGCACTAAGTAATTTATGTTAGATAATAATGGAAGTGATATTATCAGACTTTCCAGTTTTCGACAATCAAAGTTTATCTCCCCTCTTCTAAAGTGCAAACACAAATTTTCAACCCACTTCTTTTGCCCCTGATTTCGATCAGGGACCTCTCCACATACTACACCCATGGTGTTTCCTTGTCAAACACAACTAAGTGTCCGTGACATTGCAGCCCTGCAGTGTTCACTGTTAACAGACATCTAGCCAGACTTAGTTTGATGCTGCTTAAACACAGCAGTCCCACGCTTCAGACAGGAAATGAGATTCATTTTATTAAAACACATAAGATATAAAATTATTATAGCAAACAAGCAAAATTCACAAACTGAGTATTTGAAAATGCTTGTTTGAAAGCTTCTCTTTTCCTTTTCTTATTTAAATAAAGCTCTTTCCTTTTGTTTGGAAGATCATGCAGAATGTAGAATATTTCATTTTTGAACTATTTCTCTATGATAATGTGACCAGGAAGCTGTTGCTATGGAGTTCAGAGAATTTGCTTTTTATTTAAAAAGAACTCTACTGGCATCTACTGCCTGAAAGAAACAACTGCAGCTCCAACAAAGATGGAATTACAAGAAACAACAGCAGTTTTTCAGAAGTGATCTTGCTCTGACTGCTGTATGCAGTATGTATGCAACACATACATACATGTTTCTTAATTTGATGTAAAATTATGTTAATTATGATGTAATTATATAAATTATGTAAAATTATGATGTTAATGATACATTTACTACACACTTTGCCATATACAAGAAGATATTGTGTGATTAAGGCTCACAAACTCTTTATGAGTATCAGGATCAATATCAAGTGATTCCCCCCAACTGGGGTCTCACCCATTCTAAACAAGCACTGAACTAACTGAGATATGTTCTCAGATATTTCAAAAACTGTATTTTGAGGCAGGGTCTTGCTACGTTGCTCAAGCTGGTCTGGAAATTGAGTTTCCCTTATCTTAGACTCGCTGAGCTGAGCACTGGTACTGCAGAACTATGGCTCCCCGCTCAGCTAACCACACCCATTTCAAGATGGAAACACACTTAAAAACCTCGGTGACTTGCCCAGAGTCACCAGGTGTTCTACACTCCACAGCAGGGCTCTGCACAAAGTTTCTCCTGTTGGGAAGTGACAGTGAGAGCCTTGGGCATGACTGGCTGCTGGATCTTCTCTCCGGGATTCGAGACTGCCATGGGTATGGGTGACCTTCAGAAGGTCACCTTGTAGCCTGTCCATTTTGTTGCCCATACCTATGTTTACAACCACGCTGGGGCCAAGCAAAATTATGTACAGAAGTTTGAAGGTTAAGGGAGACATGGAATCATATTTAATTTGTAATGATGTTGCCTTCACATGGAGGACAAATAGCATGACCTTATTAACTCAAATAAAAGTTTATAGTGTTGCCTCTTCTACAATGTTATCTAAGTGATTTCACATACAACATGTCAAATTCATTTTAGCTAGCATAGTAACTGATACTTATCCATGTAGTCTGAATGTTCACCTTTAATGAGTAAGTATTCCACTGTATGGATTTACCACAATTTACACAACCCCTAAGAAACTGCATTTGCACCTGTCAAAAATGAAGTGGCTGTATCTGTGTATATCTACTCCTGGGGCCTGGTCTCTTACTTCATCCACCTGTGTCAGTCACTGCATCTCTACCATACTGACTTTGGAGGCTGCGAATTGCTATTCACCCTAAAATCTTAGTGTAAATCTTCTAACTCCCACCCCATCATTTTCCTGATTCTCCCTTCTCCCCGTGTATGTGTGTGTGTGTGTGTGTGTATGATGGAAGTTAAACCCAGAGTAAATCAATTTAGTTATCTTTATAAAAGTAATCATGTAGCCAGGCAGTGGTGGTATCCACGCCCTTAATCCCAGCACTCTAGAGTCAGAGACAGGAGGATCTCTGTGAGTTCGAGGACAGCCTGGTCTACAAAATGAGTTCCAGGACAACCAAGGCTACACAGAGAAACTCTGCCTCAAAAACAAAACAAAACAAAAAAGCAAAAACAAACAAACAAAAAACCAAAACCAAAACAAACAAACAAAAAGTAATCATGTTAGGGTTTTATTGGGATTTTGCTCATTGTGAGAAATAACATCTTAACCCTGTACAATCAATCCATGACCCTAGAGTCTCTTGGGCTTTATTGGGATTTTGCTCATTGAGATTTAACATCTTCACTTTACACAATCATTCCATAACCCTAGAGTTTCCTAGCACTAACCTGGGTGTACAATTTCATTTTGAAAAAAATCAGTCGTCTACAGTTTTCAGTGTGGAAAACTTATACATAATTTGGTAAATATAGACTCAAGCCTTTTTTAAGGTTTAAATTGGCTTTTAACTGATGCATAAAAACATGGAATTATATATACTATGGTGTATTGAAACAGAACACAATATACCAATTTTGAATGTTTTTTTATTTTCAAATATTTTATAATTGTTCACTGCTGGTGTTTATATATTGATACTGAATAGTCTACCCATGATAACCTTGCCGGTTCCTTTTTTTGTAGATTTCTTGGGATTTTTAATATAGATTTAGTCATTTTTGGCCTCCATTCCCCTAAGACTTCTGCTTCCTTTGATTTCCTTGCCATACATTTTGAATGTCTATGACTTCCACTGCAATGCTCAACAAGAGAAGAGAGGATAGGATTGTCTTATTTTATGTCTTAGGAAGAAAGTCTTTCTTCATTTACTATGATAACTGTAGACACAATTTTGGTAACTATCCTTATTGGATCTAATAAATTTCTTCCTGTTTTGGTGATAACTTGCAGATACATTGTTGCATCACATGGTTTCAATTCTTTTGTCTGAACCAGCTTGGAGGAACACCTGCCATTCTTTTCATATAGTGCTGGATTTAATTTACTAATAATGCTATAGGGATTTTTTGTGCCTATATTTAGATTAGACACTGTTTTAACACTTTTATTTTCAGATTTTGCCTATGTTTTTGGAAGCAGGATAAGATGACTTCATAAAAATAAGATGAAATGTATGTCTTCCATTTTCAAGAAAAGATTCTGAAAGGGATACTCGTTTTTTTTTTTTGTGTGTGTGTGTGTGTGTGTGTGTGTGTTTTCGTTTAAAGTTTGGGGAAACTTGCCAATGAAATTATATGGGAAAGGAAGGTTTTGTTTTCATTGAGAGATTACAAATACTAACAGTTTCTTCAATAGATACAGTACAACTGAACTGTCTGTTTCTCTGTGTATGTGCACACACGGATTAAGAGATGTCTAGTACTACTGAAGCTCCCTTGTGCATCTGTGAAGGCATTTCTACTGAACT